GTTGAAGATGTGCATAAATCGTTCAAGGTTGGTTTCATTGTTTTGAACCTGGAAAAAAATGTCTATTTTTATGTAGAAACTTCAAAATCTTCTAAACGATCTCACGTTTGATGAGGAGGCTGCTTGGAGAAGAGGTCTCCATCAATAAGCGTGGACAAATCGTCCAAAACAGATGATGTTGGTTGTGATGGTGGTTTCAATTTTCGTGGTAATGCTGGAGTCATCGACTGAAATCAGTGATTGAGTGAACAGCAATAGTTATAGTAAACATGGTTTATTTTACCAATGCATTTACCACATTTGCGATAATCAACTATTTGTGGTTACCTAGGACTCTTCAAAAGTACCACAACTGCTTTTTGTTCACATAATTTTTCCTATCTGATTAAATGTTGTGACATAATTATTCCTAAAAATCCTAGTGCGAGATTTTCAGTGCTGGGGAAGATTCCCTCGCTCTCAGCAATCCTTTTCATAGTACTTATTTGAAGTGTTCTTGTAGACTGAAGCTCTTCCAGAACATAGCAAGCACCGCACTTCAACATAAGCGCTTCGAATTGGCGCTAATCCTATTTAGCCGGACATTGTGCCCGAAATTCGTGGATATTGAATGGGTGCCTCTCAAGGTTCGTTAGTAAAAGGCGAAACTTCAAGATGGAGAAAATTGTGCGACAACACATCATTGCTATTCGCGTAAGGTGACGAGAATTTAGTACAACACTTGCCCTATCAAACCCAATGAAAGGTACATCCGAGAATTCGGAGCTGCTGCTTGGCACGTCCTTGTTGCACTTCTGTTCCAGTAAATCATCGGTATGAAAGTCTAGTGGTACGGTAGATGACGTTGGTGCCGTTAGGGAGTCGGACGGCTCTGGGCCGAGGAGGTCTGCAAAGAGAAAAAGAACTGGAACGCTGTATCTGAGATAACATCGCAAATTGAATTAAGGGCAGTAAAGCTGCTCACAATGCTTACAGACACTGGAATGAAAAGAATTTTCACATAAAAGTTTCCACTAATTTACAAAACATTTTTGAGGAATTTTTCAAAGACTGGTCATCGATTGTAACTGCATGAGAGCGTTCATGGCTTATCTCTCATAAGGTTGAATTTATTGCTATGAAAAATTCTACGAATTCGAAAACAGAATATGCTACCTTTATGGTTAAGCTGTTTTCCAAGACTAAACCTAATTTTAGCAAATTCTCTTTTTCCTAGACGAAGCCATGACTGGTTAATGACTAAGGATTAGCGTGTTCGCTCGTTTTATATGGTTCTTAAATTCTTTGAAACACAAACCAGCTGCTTCCTCAGATGAGCCGCCATTGTGTTGTCGTACACGTCCTGTTTGTGAAAAATTGCGATATTTCTGTATGAGCTGGTTAACCTAAAATTTGAAAAGTACAATATTAAGCTGGTTAAAACGTTTAGGAAAAAACTTGAAATAATTTTTGCTTCCAGT